GCCAGGATGTTCTCAATCTCCTGACCTCATGATCTGCCCGCCTCAGCCTCCCAGAGTGCTGGGATTACAGGCGTGAGCCACTGTGCCCAGCCCTCATACTTGTTTTTCTTAATCTAAATCTTCTAATAGCTAACCAGCTCGAAATTCAAGTGTTCTTATTTCTGTAGATTGCCATATATAGCTATCACAAAGCAGAGGAACTTTGGACTTTATTCTAGAAGCATCTTAAGCTGTTGGTTTCCTACTTCTGATCGCTCTCTGCCCCTCATGTCCTGGGGCTCAGGCTTGAGAAATGCATTAATTCTCAATTCTCCTTTCTGGCTTTTCCATCTACTTTGTATTCTTTCATTGCACTGATCACATATACTTAGTAACACACTGTAGCAGGGTGGGCACAGAAGGGATCTAAAGGGTGTTTTGTATTCCAGGCAGGTCTCTCCAAGCCCAGCCCATGAGTCTTATCTTCAAAAAGTAAAATAAAATAAAGCTAATATACTGAGGGCTGAATGAGAGCATGAGTGAGGCTGTTCCTGGCACGTATCAGCTGCTTGATAAAAATTAACCTCCCCTTCTCCACCTTGTTAGTGTTCTCAGTGGCTTTGCACATCAAATGCTTTGTCTTTTTATTGTTAAACTTAACCTTGAGGATGTTCCTGGGTTCATCATTCTTGGCAGTATGGCGACTTTTTTGTTTTTTGTTTTTTAATGGTGGTGGAATTCATTTAACATAAAACGAACATTTTTATTTATTTATTTAGAGACTGACCTCTCTCTGTCACCCAGGCTGGAGTGCAGTGGTGCCATCTTGGCTCACTGTAACCTCCACCTCCCGGGTTCAAGCAATTCCCCTGCCTCTGCCTCCCAAGTAACTGGGATTTCAGGCATGTGCCACCATGCCCAGCTAAGTTTTGTATTTTTGGTAGGGGTGGGGTTTCACTATGTTGGCCAGGCTGGTCTCGAACTCCTGACCTCAGGTAATCTGCCCGCCTCGGCCTCCAAAGTGCTGGGATTACAGGCGTGAGCCATTTTAAAGTGTACAAGTATACAATTCTGTAGCTTTTAATACATTCACAGTGTTGTGCAACCCCTACCCCTGTCTAGTTCTAAAACTTTTTCATCACCCCAAAAAGAGATGGTGACTCTTTCAAGATGCCAGCTTTGGCATTAACGGGACCTCTGGTATGTGACTTCCGTCAAGCATGGCAATCTCCAGCAGTTGTTTTCTCATCTTTAAAGTGAAAATAATGCCGATCACCTTTAAAATAAGGCCTTATTTTGTCCACATTATTTTCACTTTCAAGGCCTTTTTAAAAAGAACCTGATTGAGGTATAATGTGTACACCACAAAATCAGCTCATCCTACGTGCACTTTTTCAGTACCTTTTTTTTCAGTACTTTTTCGTGAATTTGCAGATTTGCGCACCCATCACCACAATCCCAATTTTAGAACGTCTCTATTATTTCCTGTTCCCATCTCCAGCTCCTTGTAACCACGAGTCTGCTTTCAGCCTCTATGGGTTTGCCTTTTTTAGACATTTATACAAATGGTAGCCGACCATATATGGTCTTTATGCCTGGCCTCTTGCACTCAGCATCCTGTTTTCGAGGTGCATCCATCTTGCTGCGTGAGTCAGCACTTCATTCCTCTCTGTGGCTGAGGAGTATTCCATTGTGTGGACGGACTGTGCTGATAATCCACGCCTCAGCTGATGGACATAGGGGTTGTTTCCACTTTCCATGATTTTATTTGCTACCATGGGTCATTAGCAGTACCACGGCACTGTGCTGGTACACAGAAGTGCTTAATCATTGTGGTTGGCCGGGCGTGGTGGCTCACGCCTATAATCCCAACACCTTGGGAGGCCAGGGCGGGTGGATCACTTGAGGCCAGGAGTTCGAGACCAGCCTGGCCAACACAGTGAAACCCCGCTTCTACTAAAAATAGAAAAATTAGCCAGGCATGGTGGCGGGCACCTGTAGTCCCAACTTCTCGGGAGGCTGAGACATAAGAATGGCTTGAACCCTGGAGGCAGGTTGCAGTGAGCCGAGACTGAGCCACTGCACTCCAGCCTGGGCGACAGGCTTTTCTCTCAAGAAGAAAACAAACTATTGGTCATTGTTTATGTTATTTCCTTATGGCTTTTTTTTTTTTTAATGTGGATGATTTTCTGTTAGACTTGGTATTTGTGGTTTGATAGCTTTTTTTGTCAAGCTATTGTCATCCTGAAATTTTCCTTGTTTGTTAAAGTCTTAGGATTAACATATGGCGATAATTGTGTATCATCATGACTTAGGGCCATCTGATAAGCCAGGTCACCTGCTTCGCTCATTCATGCCACACGTGTTTACGGAGTGTCCCATGGGTGCCAGGCCTGCAGGCTATGGGTGAAACCTGTGTACCCCAAGAGGAGACAGTGACTGCATCTGTTTTGCTCAGCCCTGTAGCCTCACAGCCTGGCATGGTGTTTATTGAATGAAGCACAGCCTCTACCCTCATGTAATTCGATGCAGGTGGAAAGCCCATGGCAGACCCAGGACTGGAAGCTCCTGTGTCATTAGGAACATTGGTGGCCGAAGCTTGCTGGTAACAGCTGGCGAGAGTGAATTACGCCTGTCTACTTCCACCTCCATGCATGGTGACATCACTTTGATAGGCTGACATCAGCCACTGTGGGAATATTAACACCATGGAAATGGGCAAAAGCCACCAATCAGAGTTTTGTCCTCCCCTCCCCTCCCCTCCCCTC